AGAGAGAGAGAGAGAGAGAGAGAGAGAGAGAGAGAGAGAGAGAGAGAGTTTTTTTTGTTATATCAAGAATTTCAGTTCAGAGAGAGAGAGAAGGAGAGAGCGCGTGTGAGGGAGAGAGGCTGGGAGGGAGGAGGGAAAGCGCCGTCGCTTCCTCCCGTCACTAAAGCAATAACCTATTAGGATTTTTTTTTTTTTTTTTTTTTTTTTTTTGGTGGGCAACTGTCACCCCAGAGGTAAAGAGGGAGGGAGAAGCACCGCCAGACCAACTCTTGTCATTTCCAGTAAGAAGTTGCAGACTTCATGTAGCTGTCTCTGCCCTGCTGAGAGAGGGATGGAAATTGTGTGCAGTGCAGAGTGGAAAATACCCCCGGTCTAAAGAAGTGCACCGGATTTTTGCTTGCTGTTTGTTTGGGTTGTTGCGTGCACGTTAAACACCCGAAGGATCACCGCTTAATAGAAATGAAACGTGGAGAGGATGACTAACGACAGAACTGTGAATTTGTTCCCTGGAGTTGCTAATTTGCCAACCCGAAGCAACACATATCTCAAGGAGGAAGCGTTTGGCTGCTGCTGATTTCTCCAAAACTGGTGGTTTACCAGATGCATTGTGCTGTATCTGCTGGAATAGATCATTGCTTAGCTGCAGCAGATCGTCAAAGGTAGACAACCAACGTAAGTGCAAAGTTACCCATACACTGTGATGCATTTCATGTAAAGAAAAAAAAAAAAGCCAACACGCAGTATATTTATCTAGGGAAAGAATCAGTGTTTCAGATTCAGTTGATGTTGGTGGCAAAGGCTTACCTACTCACTGTCTCTGCATCCCTACCTGCATCACTCTGCTGAAAGTAATCACGGGCATCAGCTACCGTGCAGCTTAATGCAGATAAGATTAGTGCTTAGGGTCTGCCTGGTTCTGCCAAACTGTAGGTGCTGGCAGCCTTGCACCCGGATAATTCGCGGTTAGCAGAGCATGCAAACAGAAGTCTGTCTGTCGCTTTCTTTTTCTTTCACCTGCATTATTAGTCTGCAGTATTTATGTGTGGCAGCTGCTAATAACATCCTGAAGGGAGATCAGTGTCAATGGGGAAAGGCTGCACCTTTTTTCCTCCTCTCGTCATCAGAAAATATATTCCTCTCCCCCAC